CAAGCAAAGCTTCACCAAAATGTGTTACATTTCCCTCATCTTTTGAAAATGTGAAGGTGGGAAAAGCTGCTCATTCCTCAGTTCAGTGGGTACCACCCAAAGAGTAGAGGAAAGGAATTTTTCATGTAGGGACTCTCAAATCAAAACCACGTGAATGTCAAAGCAGGAAGGTAAGGGGAGGGATGGGGGGTGTGAATCACCTGTGCTGATTGTAGAAACGGTGAGGAAACTAAATCAGACTCAGATGGCAGCTTGGCTGAAGTTTTGTTTCAAACTACAACTCTGATTTGCAAGCTCTTGCTCTCATTGCAAAGACAAATTTTTTTGGTAATTTTTTTAATTCTCCAGTTTAATTTTGTTCGGATCAAATGCTCTGAATATATTTAGCAAAAATGTTCTTACAGAGATTTAAAAATATGAGGGTTCTTCAAACAAACTTTATGCAAAGTTGTCAGAAACCCACGCTACTGGCCTAAATTGTCAGGTAACTTTATTTCCTGCGAGGAGGAAGTTGGATATAGATTGTAGTCGTAAGATGATTCATATATTTCTTGCTCATCTCCCAACTGCTTCCCTCCTACAGAAAATACAAGATGCAGTATCTCCTACAGATATCTGTGCAAGCCAGTCTCACACACATTCTCTTCCTGTAGACAGATAAGTGAATAATCCAGATACAAACAGATTAAAATAGTTTGACAGGGAATACAGTTCATAGAATTTTAATTGATCCGGTAAATCTTTTACATTTCTGCTCGGTTAAACCAAAGAACTCAAACGACACCCTTGAGATTATTTTATTCTCACGTTCAAAAATGGATGCTGTTGTGCCACACTTGGAGGATTAATATATGCCAGTCTCTTACGTGTAAGCAGAATGTTTTTCACTTCCCAAGGAACATAAGCATTTTAAAAACACCAGAGAGCCCTGGGTTGATTTACAAAGATTAGAAATGCTGTCCATATAGCCTGCTTTTTGGCAATGTATGAGCGTAGTATCTGCTGTGTAAATACTGCATTCCGAGCACAAAGGGTCCAGTTCTGCCAGCTTTGCCATTCAGACAGTCCCATTACGATAAGTAAAAAATCTCAGGCAGGATTGAGACTTTGCTACATGATACATAGATTTTTTCTCATGCTATGGAGATAATGAGTAAGCTTTCTTGGTTTTTTTTTTAATGTATGGAAAAGAAGGGAGAATTAGAAAAAGAGATCTTCAATTTTTTCCCATAAAAACACAGGTTTTCAATGCATATGTCATTTAGTAGCATGTCCATCAATATAGGAAGGATAACAATTTTGTAAAAACAAGCCCCCAAATACTATTTTAGTATTCAATAATGGAATGCATGACACTGAGGTGCATTTATCCTAAAAATTGGCCTGCACTGACATAGGGAATCATCTAATATAATGACAAAAAGCTCTTCCAAAGGATAAAGTGATTCAGCTGACAAACTGGCAATTACTCCCACTGACTTTTCAAGTCTGTCTTTAAATAAAACATTTGTTAAAACATTCCGCTGTATGCCTCGTGTCACCCACAGCAAGATGAATGCTGCATTACATTCTATCAGTTACTTTCAATTAAAAATATTTCAAAGCATGTTGATGAAGCTTGAAATGCACAGGTTTTAGATTTTTGGAACTGTGAGATTTACTTTTTGGTGCTGACTAGCAAAGACTAACAAAAATGTGTATTAGTTAATTTAATGGTTACAGATTTATTCATTCATAAGAAATCTACATTCTGTTTATACTTCATAACCACCATTGATCATAACTACTGTTATTGCAGAGCCAAATAAAGCCAGATTGGATTGACTTTACTTGCCCAGTTGTTTTCTGCCCTGTGCACTGATTAGATATTTACAGCAGTTGAATAGTAGCTCTACAACGTTGTGATTCTTTGGTTGCTGTTTTCAGCACACAGGCTTCAGGATAACAAGGTATCACGGCCAATGAATATTACCAGAAGACATTAATCCAGTTAGTTTAGCATAATTTATTAGGCAGCACACAAACTAATAATGTGTCCCTGTGTTCAATATTATGGCACTGCAGAAGAGAGAGAGATCCCATTTTTTAAGCTGACAGCAGGTTCAAGGCAGGGTTTGTTGAGAGAGGCCATGTATCTAACTCAGCTGACTATTAGTTTACAAATAAGGTTTGCACACAGCTTCTTGTACTTCTTGGAACCAGTGTCCTTGAAGAAGAGAGCTAAAGAATACCTTATGTACCTGAAAACTTATCTTTTTTTCTCCCTTTAAGGTATTGTCTGGGCTAATAACAGTCCTATATTCGCTTTTGAACCTTGCCTTGCTTGTGTCTTAGGCTGCTACAGCAACAACAGCTCCGTTGCTAAAGCCATGTATGCATTCACGTTATATGTCAATGTTCCATTGATCTATAAGGTTTGGCAGAGTATTGATAGCAAACACCACATCATCTGCTAAAATCAATGGACTGCATGCTGCTGAATCCTTAGAATGTTTTAAAATTTGGGTGTGAATGCCTTGCTCAGCAAGGACAGTCCACCAGAAACTGGCTAGAATTATATCTCAAATTGAAAGCTGTTAAAGGAAGAAAAATATCATCATGAAAGAAATGGATATGAATTTCTGACATCTCTAAGGAATGTTGGGCACAATCCTGTGAGCAACACTTGGAGTTTGTGGTGTGTTTTGAATCTTTAGGTACAGTGAGTGGAAAGTCATTGTTAGAACCCAACAGTTTGTGCCATTTATTTATTGTAACATGCACTGGTTTTCAACATGTAGTGATAAAGGTCCCACTGTTCTCATGTTAGCCTGTGTGTGGGGGGAACTGCATCACGATCAAAGCTCTGCACATGATCTTGCTAAAAGCTTTATTTCCTGCTCACCTCAGTTGCAAAAGGAGGCAGTTGAAAACCAGGTCTGTCTGTGGTGGGGTGGGAGGAGGATGCAGCAGGGGGTGCTGCCATGAGTGTCCTCCTCACACCCACCTGCCAAAAAATCTCAAACCCGTAATAAAGGGGTAACAATTACTGCTTTCTAGCTGCAACTCTCTCAATAGACATCAACAGGAGAGTCCCTTTTTTTGGTTGCTCGATTACTCCATCAACAAGGAATTGGGATACTTAAGACTTGGGAGAAAATGAAAATGCAGGACACTCCAGCACACAGAATTGCTGAGGAAACAGAAGCTAAATAGTTTTACTTTTCTGTAGTCCAGGAAACCTTTTTCTTGTTTTTAGACATCCAGTATAATCTGAGAAAAGAGTGAGTTTTACAGAGTTGTGGCAGCTTACAGAAGAGCTGTATGATAGGACAAGGGGGAATGGCCTTAAACTGAAAGAGGAATGTTTAGATGAAATATTAGGGAGAAATTCTTTACTGTGAGGGTGGTGAGGCACTGGAATAGGTTGCCCAAAGAAGCTGTGGATGCCCCATCCCTGAAAATGTTCAAGGCCAGGTTGGATGGGGCCTGCAGCAACCTGGTCTAGTGGAAGGTGTCCCTGCCCATGGCAGAGGGGTAGAACTGGATGATCTTTAAGGTTCCTTCCAAGACAACCATTCTGTGATTCTATGATTAGTGAAAAAAAGCTACAGCTGCAGAAAAGTAATTCTCTCTGTACTCTTCTGGATATGTACTATACCATGTACTAATAATCAGCAAAGATGAGATAAAATTGTGACTTTAGAGACTTTATCTGTTCTCCCAGTGTTTTATAGAAATTTTCAAACATTTAATTTACCTGCTCGGAACTTCTGAATTTCAACTTTCTTCGTGGTTATTAATTTATAATCGCTTTAGTTCACCTACATGGGGTAATTTAGTATCTTTAAATTTTTAATGTCTTTTTAAGATTGATATTTATGGTGTGTTTCTAACATTCTATTTAAATACCATTAAGCAATGTGGTAACAAAATAATGTAATATATCTGCTATGACATGCTGAATAATGTATGCAATTGTTTCTCTGAGAAAAAAAAAGCTTTCTCAGGCCCTCAAGAACAACACTAGAATTTATTTGTAACAAGTTCACTATCATTTAAGTTAGTAATTGCTTCAGGATAGCATGACTGATAAAAAAAATTCTCAAGACTAATACATAGAAACTAACAAGCAAAATTAATTTGTAAGCTGAGATGGTGAAGTAACCACTGAGATTAACTCTTCAGAAAAATCTGGTTTATATATATATGAAGCTGCTCTCCCTCTCTTCTACTTCCCTTATTTCTATCTTTTTTTTGCTGCTGACTGTAATGTCTACACATGCATGGTAATATCTGTGGGGCTCTGTATGGATAGTAATAAATAATAGTATCTCCAACTGATGTTCCTAGAAATGACAGCTTCTGAAATATAGTCAGTCATCTGACATATTAATCTTCCTTTTGAATGTTAGCAAATAATACTTCTCTTCTAGATTTGTCAGCTGCCTTTTAGATTCATGGTCTCCATGGTTTGGTTGATGCATCTTTCAAACAACATGGGATAATCAAAGTTGCCCTTGTTGGATCCCATTAGAATCTTTTTAAGGAACCCCCCAAGGCAATGGTCTGCACACACCCAGAGCCTGGTGCTCTTGAGTTTCTCATTACTCCTGCATGGGTTTCAGATAAGTGACCCTGCAGGTCTCTCATTCAGGGACCGTGGTTAATCTAGATGTAGATTAGAGGATACTTGCTTACAAGGTTGCCAAAACCTAAAGAAAATATTATATAAATAATATTGACCCTTCCAACACTTGTTTGTTTTGGGTTTTTTTTTGTTGGAGTGGATTGGAGTGAGAGGGAGGTTGGTTTTTTGGGTTGTTTTTTTTTTTGTTAAACCATCGTGGCAGATTTGAGTGGTGGCTCATTTAGTAATACTGCTTTTTAACTAAGCATATTTTCTAATAGCTCACTTAGGGCACTGTCTTATCTAAAATGTTAAGGAGACTATAGAGAAAAATAAAGTTGAAGTACATAACTCCAACACAAGAATGTTTTGTCCATTTTTTCTTGTACAGGAATTCAAAATTGTTTAGTGGTGCTGATATGGATTCTGAGCCCTCTGAGACAGGACCAGCAGCCACAGAGGTACCCGGCATTCACGTGAGTCTGCTGTTCTCTTGATGCCAAACACAATATCCTCCAAGGTTTCCAGGCAATTGTTAAGATTAAATAGAACAATCAAACTTAATTAACATAGTTTATCAGTCAGATAGCTTCAGACATTTTTATGACAGTTAGAGCATACATTGGAATGATTTAGATAGTTTTCATTTCTTAGCAGGAACTAGACCTTTGTTTATGGTATGTCAGCATACTTGCATCTGCTGAGGCTCTTGTTCTACATCCCCAATGAATTCAACAGTTTTTAATCTGCTGGATAGATAGAGGTGCACACAGAGGTGAATGTGTTCATTTGCAGCAGGGCACATGTGCTCTAGTGCAAAGCAGCCACTGGAGATGCTTCCATTTGATATTATTGTTTGACAAGGGGAAGGGTTTGGTAAAGGGGCTCCTTTGGCACTGTGAGAAATGGTTACTAGGTCATGCTGTGGGCTGAAGTGTAGGTAACATAAAGGTTCTTTCTCTTTATCAATCTTAATCAGATACCCTCCTCAATGTTATAAAATATGTCTATGCCAGATGATACAAATAGTGGTGTTCTCCTGTGGTTCCTTATCTTTGGTTCCTTGTCTTCAGTCTCTTATCTGAACATGCATTTGATTTTTCCCCTCTGAAATGCCCAATAATTTTAGAGCTGAAAGCAAATCCTTTGAACTAAAAAGTTTTAGCCCCAATAAATCCAGAACTAAAGACTAAAATACTAAGTAATGACAGCAAAATAATATATGAAGCTTTGATATATTTGGCCTCAAGGCAAAATATACAAGAGCGTCAAAGATGCAAGGTGGAAGAACAAGAAAACCTTTGTCATCTGATGTGGCTCTTGGGGAATTTTGGAATCATTTTGTGTACTTTTCCTGGCCAAGAGGTAAGGGATCCCTGTCTTGTTGCAACTCTCTGCATATACTGTGTTGATTCAGAGTTTTATTAATGTGATCTTGAATCATGTGGAAGGAAGAAAAGGGCAGCCTGTTTACAGGCAAAGGGCTTGTGTAGTGATGGTTATAAGGTGGCACCAGCACCATAGGGTGGCCAGTGAGGGGACAAGTATACCCTCACAAGTATACCCTCACAAGTATACCCTCTAGATATTTTAACAAAAATATCAGACCACAAGACTTAAATTTGAAAGGAAAAGAACTCCAAGCCTGCAAATAACATCCTCAAACAGTATGGGACTGAACATGCATTAAATTAAGAAATCTGTGGGTTTGTAGCACATCAAGCTGAATGGTTATTTCTGTATCCTGCAATAACCAGGTAAGAATGCAGTTACACATAGATGTATTATAAATACATGCTAATTGCTGTCAGCAGTTGTGTTTTGAAGATCATACATTTTTTATGCATAGCAAGGTGTTAAAATATCCTTACTAGTTATTTCTGCATTACAGCATCCTTGTTGAAAAAGCACTAGCAGAAAGGTCTTCCATTTTAGTATTCCCACCAAGACTTTGAAAGCTCCTGGTGAAGGTGCAAGAGAGATGTGACAGACATTGCATTAACATAAAGCTCAGAATACTTATCAGCTTCTGCTTCCCAGGGAAGCAGTCACTCAGCTTCCTGTAAAGGCAAAACACATAAAGAGACTGGGATCTGTTATCAGCCCTTTTGGGCAGAACTGTGATACAGAGTGCTCTGCTTAATATTGCTTATCGCTAATTCTGTGCATGATAACTGAAGCATGAACAATATCCGAGTGGGAAGCAAACTAGATCTATAGCTGCATAGCCAAGCCTAGCAAAATATATTGCTGAGCTCCTATAGCCAAACAGTTCTGCAGAATATCAGCTGAAACAGGATGTTCCAGCTCACTGGGCCTCCACTCACCATATGCTTGTGCAGCCTCACCTGTAATAGCAAATAGCTGTGCTCAAGGCCAGGGTGCATTAAGAATTAGGAAGGGATGCTGGAGTGAACCTGCATGATATTGAAAACTGATGGGGTTTGTTACTTGCTGTGTCCTACTGAGTTTGTGAGGCAATGGCGAGGAAGTTATTGAGCCTTGTTGAAATCACTCACATGAGTGAGGAGTGTATATCACTCTTAGAAATATATATTTGCAAAGTCTTGCTGTGGAGATTACCCTGAAGAAAATTCACTCTTGTCTGACTTTTCATTCTATGAGAGAAGTAAGAGAAAGAATGATAGTGTTGCTCTGTGGCTTGTCTGTTTAAACAGGAAAGGTTCTCTCTTCTGAGCTTATCCTGTACAGGAAGAATCATCTGTGTATTTTGACCCAAGTACAGACATATATTGTTTCTGAGAACATAGGATGAGGGTGGGATTCCATGACAGTCCCTGCATCCTTCATGCACCTGTGTAAGCTGGGGATCACAAACCGTACACTGGTGAAGAGCCTGAGGATGCTCTCTGGTTTTAAAGCAGAACCTAAGGGTCATCCTGTATTATTAATGTATTTGTTTATAGTAATGTGTCCAAAAGAAGATTTTTTTTTTATTGTAGTCATATGTAGCTACAAACTATTTTTCTGGGAATTAATGCACAAATGCTACAATTAGACTATTGTGAAGAAACACATGAGGTTTGTAACAGCTTATAACCTGTTCTTTCAACAGCAAGAAACCTATTTGCACTATAACCACACTTAGAGGAAATAATTGAAAAGTTTAGTTAGATCAAGTGTCTATCAACTTAATGCTTTTTCTATGTATGAGGCTAAGACATCTTCAGAAAGTTTCAAGGCTTGAGGACTGAGGTACAGACAGGCCAAGCAGCAATAAGTGGTTTTCAAGTTTCAGGCAGGACTTTTTCTGAGGATGTTTAGTTTTAATTCAAAGAAAAAAGCTTAAAGCAAAGAGAATATCACTGTGTGTTTACCTCCCTTTCCTTTATATTTGTTCCTATAATTACAATTACAATTCATCTGAGTGGTTGGGTCCCGGCACCTCCTCAAAGCCTTGGTGGGTGACTGGTGCTGCTTCCAAGGAATGTTGGAACTGGGCTTCCATTAGTGTTAAAAATTGAAAGAACAAAATCACAAGGCAAAGGGAAGAGGGATGTTGTCTTTCTTTGATGTCTGCTCCAGTCAGTGCACTGTATGACATCTGTATGTCTTGCTGTGAGTTAAACATAATTTTGCCACTGATAGACAATCTCTGCAAAGATTCTCCCCTGGTGGTGGCTGTGGAATCCAGCTGTGGAGAGAGTCCAGGCAGGATTGTCTTGAGCTCCCTGTGAAACCTGTTTAGTAAATGTGGTTCCTTATCCAGTGTTGATTTGGATAAACAAGATCTCAGGCTGTTTAGGCACATTCTTCACCAAAAATGTTTTTCTCTGTTTATTCTAAAAATCAATGTTTTCCTGATTAATCTTGATTCTAATGACATATTTTTTCTTTGTAAATGTGCCCTTCTGGTAACCCTGAGGGCAATAATAAGCTGGTGCCAAGTGAAAGTCAAATAAATGGGCAATTGCTAAAGGAAAATATTAGGAACTGCTATAAAATCATGTGCCATTAATAGCATTTTATTTTGACCATAAATGGTAATAATTATTCTTTTATGAATATTTCAGAAGACTGGGACAGGTTATTTGGACAGGATGAGATAGGAAATTGTTCAATTTAACTATACTTTCTTCACATTAGATACTCTGACAATGCCATTTTCCTTTTTAAAACACTATTTGTCATTTCTGTCCAAATAATTAACTTGAAGAGTAGGTAAATGCTCTTGTGATACCAGTTACAACTTCATCATTCTAATAAGTGTATGTGTAAATGAGCACACATGCATGGAAATAAACATGTAGGGTAACTGGTGGTGCAAAAAAGCATCCAAAGTAAGTTTCTAACAGAGCTCTGTAGGCCATGGCACCAATTTCATGCTTGGTAAAAACCCTGCGTTGCTTAAAACATCTTGATAGCCAGAATAAAATGATGAATTTGTTCACATTAATTAAACATATTACCTAAATGTTGCATTATGAATGCTCTTATATCTTTGCTGGTTTTCATTTCTGTGTTATGAAAAGGCTTGGAGAACATGAGATGTGTTGAGAAGGGGAAAGCATTAGAAAATACTTTGAAAATTTTAAATGAAACATTCCATATAGTTCCTTTTTCCTTAGAACAAAATTACAATGCACTTAAGAGAAAGAGAAATGTCAGTCAAAATACCAAAAACAATATTAGTAGTGACCCTAAAAGAATTTGCAAGCAGGCAGGTTAATCTTTTGGGGTTTTTTTCAATATACCTATCTGAACTCCAGCACAAAGTAATTAATTACAGGTTCTGGTGCAGAAATGCATCAAATATCATCTTTAGATGTCTGCCTTTTCATAACATACTAATTAGTCCTTTTTACACTGTGACTTTGTTAAAATGCAGGGGGTGGTAGAACAATGCTGACATTTGAAAGGGCCGGACTTACATTCCCTGATAATCCACTGGAGTCACACAAACTGCTTTTCTTAATTACCAGACAAAAGCAGCAGGCTTTGTTCCAGGCTGCTTTGCTCTATAGATGTATAAATAAGCCCTAGCTTGTTTAACTGGTATGTTTTTCATCTCTGAGTATTTGGGGGATTTTTGTCCTCCTAGAAAAGCTGTGACATCCCACTGCTGCTGCTGACGGGCTGTGCTGACCCTGCCTGTTGCAGAGGGACTGCACAGAGTCTTCCCTGAATTCAACCTGCCTTCTGATGTCCAGTTGCTTTCCCAGTTTCCTTAACTGTTTGTGGGTTTCATCCAGTTCCTCCAGGAACTGCAGAATTAACAGTTTGGAGGCTTGGCCAACTCTCATTCCCTTGTGTTCTCTGTGCATGTGAAGCTTTCCACTGACATTTTCACTGAAAAAATGAGCAATTTAACATTTGAAGTGGAGAATTTTCTATAAAAAGGAAGGAAAGAGAATGTATCATTTCCTTCTTTTAAAAACCTCCACTCCTGAATGCTGGAAAATGTTCATTAACTGTGGCAACCTGTTCTGAGAGCACTTCAGTGGATGTAGGGAAC